CCCCCCCGAAAACGCTCTCTGTTTGGCGATGATGATGAAAACGATCATAACCCCCGAATCTGACGGTAATCCGGACCACATTTACGCGGAAAACCACCCTCCTCCTCCGACAGAAGCCATGTATGATTGAATTCGAGACTATCTCGGCCGCTCGTTGACATCGTGGCTGCTGATTGGTGTTCGAATGCTAGACCATCCCGGCCGATTCAATGCGATCACAACCCCCCGAATCTGACGGTAATCCCGCCCACATTCACGCGGAAAACCATCCATCCTCCTCACGACAGACGTGATGATCGAACTATCACCATCACGTCGGATGTAATTGGGGGTCGAACTATCTCACCATCACATGGGATGTAATTAGGGGTAATGCTGCAAGATTATCCTCGTATTAACGATGTCATTATGAATTTATTATTTATTACATAGTAATAAAATAATACAGAAAGAACAATGAAGCGGAGCGCCTGCCATCCACCCTAATTTCCACAAGCACCTAGTTTTTCTAGCGCGATGGGATCATGATCATCACCGACGAACGATTGCACACGTGGCACCACCACAGCAATACTCCTGATATAATCAACCAAAGACGATGCCCGTTCATGATACTGACTGATAATGTAATGACGGCAACAAAATCAATGCAATCATAATGACGACGATGATTGGGTGGGTGCTCTAGCGGTTTAGCGCGTGAGGGAATTGTCAGCATTGTAAGACTAATACAAACAGCACATTGCCTTGGGCACTGGACCCGCTGTTTCAAATAATAATAATAATAAATAATAAAAATAATAAATAATAATAATAATAATAATAAATAAACAAGCAGCACATTCGCACATTACCACAGTTATCTTCTACTGCCGCGTGAATGACATATACATAGCAAATATAACTCGGGTCGTTAATTATAGAAACCAATAATAAAGAAAAAATAACGACATGCAATATTCCGTCGCACTCTTGGCGGGAACTTGTCGCAGCAACGCAGGGCAACGACGATCGTGTGCGCGTGAAGAAACCACGTTCCCTGCAACCCGTAATCACGGAAGGTAACGCGCCTTTGATCGCACCTTTGATATGGCTAACTGACAGTCGATTGCGTAACGGAAGCTAACGGAAGGTAACGAAGAGTGACGGACAAGTCATCGCAAACCGCTCACACGCAAGATAGGAGGGGGAGGAAAAAGTAATCCTAAGTCAGGCGGGAGGGCTAACATCAAATTATAAAAAAAGACATAGTATCAATATAAAACCCTTGCGGAATAGAAAAGCTGTGATCTTCTCTATCTCTGCAACCGCTCAGCAATTTGACAGGCAGAGCTAATTTAAAATAAAGAAAGGAATGCTTTCACATCGCGCAACGAGACATGACCATGGTACAGACAATGAGACAACGATTTTAATATCTTCGTAAACACAAGATTTCCTTCACTCAGTAAATCTCTCTCTCTCTCTCTCTCTCTCTCTCTCTCTCTCTCTCTCTCTCTCTCTCTCTCTCTCT